ACTCGTGTGCACGTTTTAGGGATCTTTACCCTCTGTTTGTTTGTCTCTGAGGAAAAGTATGTTTTCCCCCCCTCTTACCAGCACACACACAGACGAACACACTGACACTTGAAGCATTTTGTGTTGTGACCCCAAAATAAGTAGACAGAGAAATCATAAAGACACAAACCAACACCTTTCACAAACATCTGTCTGCACAGCTCACATGTGGCGCACTGTTCCAGGATCTGCTAGTTAACTGCAGCTTTGTGCTGGACAGGCTGTACAGTGAGTTTTTACAAGAACCAAGAACTTGTAACGCTTGTTAAAGCCCGTCGTTAAAACTCGCAATGCCTGTTAGATAAACAGGAACGTTGGTCAAGTGAGTGTGACATGTAAAGACTCTTGGCTGCCATTGTTTTCCGTATCACGACATATGTTGGGTGATGGCATCTTTTTGTCTGGACTTGATTTTGACCTAAGCTGTTAAACACACACATGATTAATTAAGTCCAAATGCTCATTTGACTTTTCAGTTGAGGTGTCAGTTTGGGATAAGTGTGTCTTTCTTTTTTGTAGAAGCATTAAAAAAAATATATAGTTCCTTTAATTTTTATTTGAGAGGAAGAGAGAGCACGTTAGGAACTATGGGTTGCTTTACTGGATCCAGTTCCCTCGGTGGCTGGAAGCAGCACCATGAGAGCAGAGAGAGCATACAGGTTGATGAAGCAGTGGGCCGTAAAACCAAAACTGAGAGTTTAAAGACTGGTCTGAGGTTTCTGACTGCTGGTAAATTTCATATTGGACACAAGCCCTTTGACTAATGCTTCATTTGATTATTTCAGCTTCCGTGTTGTGATGTTTGGATTACGACAGGTCCATTTGAATATCACTGAGAGCAGGTGTAAAAATAAAATTCACCAGAAGCGTCTGGTTTGTATCTGAAGCACTGGCTTTGTCAACTCTCCATGTCTTATTTATTTGGATAACAGACCATGACTCCTTCCTGATTAAGGTTTCGGAATCATTCCAGTTTAGTACCATTCCAGTAACTATTAACAAGAGTCTGTTCTGCTTTCCTTAAGCCAGCACTGACAGCTTATGTCTCCCTCACTGCCGCTCTGCCTCCCATCGGACAGAATCTTCCTCTTTGTCTGTTTCTTGTCATCTGCTTTTGATTTCATTCAACGCCCTGACCCGAAATAGCACTTACGTAAAAAACAAATGAAAGATGATGCCTTTAGGCAGAGACAGCGCAAAGAACAAAAACTGTCGTTTGCGGGGAGACGGCGAAACAGTAAAAATAAGATGCAGTACGAAAAGAAAAGCAGTTCCACTCCTAGTAGAGGTTCCTTTCCCATTGGCTATCAAAGTGACCAATTGGATACCAGGGGAGGTGCACTTCCTGTCTAATCAAGGAGGGGGCTTTCCATGTGGTCTCAGATGTGTATGCAGCAGCATGTGTGTATATGTTTGCAGTTAAAGGTATTTTTGTATGTGCCCCATTCAGTTACACAGTGAGCAAACAGTGTGTAGATATGGGTCACAGCTTTGAGCGGGAGTTGTGTACATTGTGTGATGTGGCCCTCTGCCAGCCGTTTGGGATGAGTTCATTTCAGCATTACAAGTTTTACAAGAATATAGAATTTCTGGTGAGAAATCAAGCAATCAGATATCTAAATAAAGACATTGTATCCACAAAACCCACAAAACGTATCAAACCAATATTCTTTTTGGTTCCTTTTGGTTTTTCAGTACATATATTGAGGAATCTGTTGTGATTTCTTTTGGTTTTCAAATGTAACCAAACTAAAAAAAAAAAGGATTCCAGACACAAAAACCCCAAAACATGAGCAGCAAAAAAAAAAAAAAAAAAAAGACATCACTGTTCTTCTAAAACAAATGTAGGGATGCTGCTTGGCCTCTGGACTCCACCGCTGACCTTCACGATGAACAAAGCACAACTGATCATACTTTACATCTTTCAGGCTAAATGAGAATAACCCTGAAGACCTCCATCGAACATAACTTCAAAACGCTGCCGTAAATAATTACCTATACGCCTCTCACCTGCCCGGGAACACGGAGGTCATAATTCCAATTTATGGACATATTCTAAATAAATCAAGATAAGTGCAAATTAAGCATGATAAAAGCACAGTCAGTACATTTAGGGAGGCATTAAACTAAGTGAACACACATGCTCTATAAAACTCCAGCTCTTTCCAGTGTTTTGGTTGTGATGTGTGCACGAGCGTGCGTGTGTATCTGAGTGTGTGCTTTGGCCGCATTCCCAAGGCTGATGTTGATAAAGTGTGACCACGCGTCCCCAAAAGGGAAAAAGATGGATACCAGCCAATATACATACATGCCTTTTCTCCATCTCTCTCTCTCTCTAACACTGCCCAGCCTGTCTTTCCCGTTTTTTTTATTTTTGCAAATCCTCTGTCTTACTCACACTCACAGAAAAACACACAAAAGGCAGTGGTACATGTGCTCGTAATGTTTTGACACTTTGGGTTCTAGGAACTGCTGAACACTTTCTTGGAGATTTAGCCAGGTTGGATCACACTGAAGAACAACACAGGCTGTGTGGGGGATCAAATCTGTTTTCCAGCACAAAAGTCCAATGGAAATCCCAGAATTAGGACAGGCAGACCATCGACCACAGGCAGGTGTTAAATGTGAAGTTACATTTCACATTATTCCCTGTCCCAGGCTGACATCTGGAATTCAGACCTCTTTGTCCATTTTGGTTTGTTGCTCTCCTACAGCCCAAAACCTCCAGCTTCCCCTGAGGTCACGTTGAGCCACAGACTGGATGAAGTGTCGGTGAACCTTTTGTTGACAGAACAGCACCTGGCAATCTACTGTCTCTGTGTAGAAGGATGAGTGGGGACACACGAGTGAATAGTGGGAAGTGTCAGTTGTTATGGTGAAAGTGTTGTCAGAGAATGAGGAAGACACCAAAGCATCCTGTTTACATACTGCGCTGTGTCATAACGCGCATGTGACCCCTTCTCCCGGAGTAATCAAAACCATTTCTGTGTGCTCTGAGAGAAATATGGAAACACTGATGTGTTGTTGACCATAAATACAGGCTGCTACATTCCATTCTCAAAATCACATGCGTATCACCTTATGTCATGGTGGCTGATTGCCAAGGTAATGGTCTGCTACAAATAAACTTTATGGATTGAAACCCCAGCCATGCCTTTAAAGGGAGCAACTTAGTTTATTTGGAATTAAGGAGCAGGTGCTTGCTCGTGTGGATGCTAACCAAGGCATGTCAGCTGCAGCTATTCTAACTGCCCGTAACATAGTCAGTTTTCTGTGGCTTTTCAGCATATTTTGCTCCAGCACTGTCCAAAGCTGTCAAAGATATGGCACAGTGACTATGTTCAGTGGTGGGCATAGTGGCCAAGTGGTAAGGTGTTATTCTCGTAAACCAAAGACCACGAGTCCAGTGCCTTCCGAGAAACGCGGCTTATTGTTGTGGGAGCAGAAATGTGCACTGACAATATGGAAAACAGTGTTATTCCTGTGTAAATTCTAATGTGACTGCGGTGTTGACAGTTTAAATGCTTCACAGCTTCTTTGCCACAGTAGAATAACCCAACACTATAATCCATGCCCCATGCTATGAGACTGATACCATTATTTGCCATCACAATAAGGCACTCTCACGTTCATGTCTTTTGGCTGACCTGCCAGGAAAACATGACTGAGGCCGGGATGGCGTACAAATATATAATTGAGGCACATCACACTGAAGGTTTGAGCTATGGCTCCCTGAAAATTGACTGGTTTGTGGCTCCAGAAATCACGACTCACCAGGGCCAAAAAGCAACCAAGCTCACTTGATTTAAAAACTGTTTGTGGTTTGAGGTAATTTAGTTGTTCATGTTAAAAATGCAGAGCAGAAATTGGGCTTTAATGACTGCTAAGCCTCAGCGAAGCCACAGAAGTGGAATACAAGGGGCCGAGCAGCATTGAGGATTTACAGTACACGTGCAACGTCAACCTTCTGTTTATTTTGGAGCAGCACCGCACATCACAGCACAATGAAGTCATGAAGTACACTTTGTCCTCAGTGAACACATGATTGACTATACATGGGACCTAAGTCTTCCATTGGAACATCTCTTTCTGCACCTTAAAGAAAAACACACTGATTCATGCAACACTGACACTGCCTTAGGCAAAATAATCCATTTGTGGGCTTAGATCTATAGCATAGTCTTAAGAAAGCCATTTACATCTGCAGTTTGTGCTCTGTCTGTGATCTTTAGGATTTTAATCCCTAAAATGTGCTGTGAAACATAAAACTTGGCTTTATGAAGTGTTAAATATGTATTTTTCTTTGTCACTTAACTACACTTTCTCACACATACCAATGGGTATATGTTGGCCCACACATAAAAAACCTAATTTTGTGTTGCCAAATTGAAAAAAGGAGTAATTTCTGCCCATTCAGATATCATTTTGGTGCCTGTCTATGATTCAGTTCTCCTGGGGAGAACGGCACTGGCAAATCAACCAAATCGACCACAGTCATGAGCACTTATTCCTGTTGTTCTCATGTTAAAAAAATAAACACATTAATCCCCTTTTTTTTAAACTCCAATGGGATATTTGAATGCACTTTGGAATAGATAAAGCAGGGCATATGAGATAGTAAACTCTGGTTACATGGGTTATATGTTTTAAAGCTGCCTCCTGGAGCATTCTTTTAAGTCTTTGCTGCCCTCTCCTGGTAAGCTTTCATTTGATTGTTTTATTGAGACTTTTGGCCTTTTTAGAAAAGGATTTAAGTAGGCCTAATTTATTTGATATTTTCAGGGTATGATTTAGTGGGACAGTGATGTGCGGTAACACATTTTTTCACACTTTTTATGAGATTTTTCTTTTTTTACACCATCTCTGAAATAGATCAAAAACACAAGCTGAAGAGAGCACATTTATACATTTTTACCCATTATTTTGAACCTTTTTGGTTGTCTCTGTCTTTTATTTTTTAGGGAGGGTCACCCCCTAACTTGAACATGAACCTGTACGCCACCAAGAAGACGGCAGCTGAGGGCATGTTGGATATCGCCCTGTTCCTGGCCAACATCACACACATGAAAACTGTCATTGAACAGGGAGCTGGCTACAGGTACTGTGGAGGAGGCAGGCAAATACTCTTGAGATAAGACCTGATCTAAGACCTGAATGTAACATGTTCACCTCTTGACTCCAGGTATTATGCCGCCGTCCTGACGCTCCTATCCTTCTCCCTGGCTCTTCAGATTGTAGCCGGAGTCCTGATCATCATAATTGGTGAGTTTGGTAGCAGCATTTTTTTAACTTTCTGCCTCTGAATATCCATGTTCTATGTTTTTAACTCATTAAATTAACTCACTAATCCACTGACGCGTTGGTTTCGTGGTAAAACGTGGTAGAGCAGGTGGAGCCAGACGTTAATCTGCCACCGATGTGCTCTCTGCCCAAAGTCAACCAGAACAAAGAGAGAAGATGAAAGTCAAAAGAAAAGGGCGGGTTTTGCTGCTTTTTGTTGGAATATTTGTATAAATGTCTGTTGCAGCCCGGCGAGATGTCAGCGAAGAGGCCAACCAGAAGAGACTTGACAGCTTGAACAACATCGTAACCATCCTCATCTTCCTCATCTTCGTCACCAACATCTTCATCTCTGTCTTTGGGATGGAGCGCACGGGCCTGTTTGCCAGGATGCACTTCTGACTCTCATGTGTAGGGACGGCTTCTAACGGGCAGATTCTGACTGACGGGGCCCGACTGTGGCC